TGATAGAACTCAAATTAGAGCAAGTATAATGGAGCTGTGTTCAGTTTACTTTCTATTTTATTTTTCACCATGTAATAAGTATATTTTAGACATTTGAAAAAAAGAGGCTTAGTAATGTGTTTGTTACAAAATGGCCATGACTTACATGATACCAGGGATTGAGTAAAATAAGCTATGTAGAGAATAAAGTAACAGTCTGTAGCAATGCCCCTGAATTCCCCACTGTAAATGTATACTGAACTATTACTCCTGTAAGCTAGAAAAGAGGATGTAGAAAGTGTGCAGTTGCCTGCTGCACAGACAGAGCAGCAGTCACAGTTTTACCAAAGTACATTATAAAAATTCAAAATAAAAGCTCTACTCTAGGATGGATGACTCAGCCATGTCCTGTTGCATAAATTATGCCTCAGGGAATTTTTGGTGCATACGCTTAGCACCTGTTTTTCCATTTTGGACTGATAGTATTCCATAAGGATGTAGACCTTGTGGAATACGATCACCATATTAAATTGGTATTTCCAGTTTATTTTGATGTGTATTTTCATAGACAATATAACAGATGAACAAAGCTTTCAAGTCTAAAAATTGAAGCCAGCCTGGGAGTGCCATAAACATAATTATTTTTAAAGGCAAAACCTGCAATACTGTGGGGGGAATGACCATTGAATTTGACCTGTGTAAACACTCTCCTGTTGAGTCACTCATTTTGGGTCACACTAAATAAATGATTACGTCTGTTTTTTAAATTTTGGTCATTCTTTGTGTCAGATAAAAAGATTTTTGAGGGTATGCTGGTTAGCTAGCAGCTTGTGATTGGCAAGCTGTTATGAGCATCACAGTAGCTATGTCCATCTTTTATACTGTCCATGGATTTATCAAATAGATTATAAGATGACAACAACATTGAAAATAAAAGCTAGGATGCTTAGGGGGGGAGTCATTCTCACAGTTTGTTTGTTTTGGTTTTCTTCTGTAATGTTTTGGGCAAACAATGACTGCTGAGATCAAACATCAGTGGATTATTTGGATTGTGTCTCAGGGAGTGTTTTGGAGATGTTCTTGGCACCTGATTTCCACTTCACACTGATCATAATCCATTTAACCAGAGAGCTTCTACTAGCCTTCAGGCTGCAAAGCAGAAAATTAAAGTAGCAGCCGGCTCTTCATAGCATTCACAGTGTTTAGTGGTAAACTCTGAGATGTATTTGATTCAAAGCCTGAGTGGTTTTAAAGTGTGTGTTTACATTTGTTAAGCACTGAAGTAAATTGTAGATTTTTTTTTTAAACACATGTGGGGTCACCAGTCGTTCAGAAACTGTACTGATGTTTTTATTGAGTGAAATCACTGGATTTGATCTGTGTGAAAGTGTAAATGTGCTCCGAGCCAGACAAGCTTCACAGGTGTTGTAGTCGCTCACTGCTTCTTACCTCTGCTGACTATCCTAACAAATCGTGGCTTCACTGTTGCTAACGCTGGTGTGTCAGGAAGTGACAGGGGGTGTGTACTGCTTTGGTCTGGCATGTCTGTCCCCTTCTTCAGCACCACGCAGGATTGCAGATATAAACAGATGCCCGTTACACTCTTACTTCATGCTGTCCCAACAGTGCTTTACAAAAACAGGAAGTTGCGTTTAAATTAAGTGTCTTTATAAAACACAAAGCATGTCACGTATGCCTGCAGGATGTTCCATAATCTGACACTACTAAAATACATTCCAGCATTCATCATCATCTTCTTATCTACAGTTGTTTTGTTGTTTTTGCACTGAGAATGACATGATGCCACATATTTAATAAACACCGTGATGCGTGTAGCGTCCGGCCAGCTCGCTGAAGAACACTTTTTATATTTATTTGTAAGCTCAAGTGGAGAAAGTTTGCCATTTTCTTTTGTGTTTTTAGCCTGTGAACTTCTTTTTAAACCTGTTTTTTAAGCACTAATGTGTTGCTTTAAAGTAGGGAAACTGTAATGCTCATCTGCTTGACGGATATTTCCTTTAATAAAAACGCCGCCCTTGGTTAAACCCCGGTGGCCAAACCGAAGTTGGTTAATGGGGTAAAAGGGAAAAAACAAAGCAAACCAAACAAAAAAAAAAAAAAAAAAAACCTCCATCAACCTTGATGCTCCTTTAAAACATATAAAGTGAGGGTTACATTAGAACTATTGTGCTGTAATCTGATGGCACAGCATCAGCCACTCCAGCTTGTTTGAGAACATGTGGAGTGTGAGAATATGCCAAAGACAATCAATTTAAGAGATGCCAGTTTATCTTTTATTATTATCAAACTGTGTTGCAGTAAGAGAAAACCATTCCATTGATCTATACTAATTCTAGCAAGTGCAGGGCATGAGTCTTTTGCCATATTTTACTCAAATCTGTGTATTTTCCTTTTGTTTGCTGCAGCAAATGTTCTACCCCAACTTTATTCACTTATGAAATTACAAGAGTTTCATGGCTACATCTTTAAAACTTGAGTCAAATGTCAAACACCTTTAAAGAGCTCTTATTCTCACAATTATACTCGAGCACACCTATTGTGTAGGCATAGAGATATAAAGCTAATTCCTTACTCACAAGGGGCCACCACATTGGGCAGTTCCACATGCTTTGATTTTGCTAATTTTTACATTGTATGCCCTCCAAAGGGATATGTGTCTGCCCCCAGGATCAAACCGGGGATCTTTTATTTGTTAGGTGAATGTGTAAACAGCTACATCATAGAGCTAACTAGTTATCATGATAACTAGTTTATATTTATAGTATTATTTACTTTGAACTTTATGTTATCAGTAAAATTTAGATTCCATTACGTTTTATTGTCTACGCAGTTTAGTTTTTAATAATTAGTTTCAGTGTTTGTTTGTTTGTTTTTATTAACTCGGTTATTTAATTTTCATTCTTTCAGCATTCTCTTATTCTCCACGACCGGATTAAATAATCTGATTTTTAAAAGTCACTGCATCTCCTAGATATCCTCATAATGATAATAAGAAAATATATTAAATAAATTTAAAAAAAAATAAACTCTAATTCTTGAGTCAGATTTAGTAAACATTTAAGATACGTCTACTTATGATCGTCGCGAATCGCTATTAATCTGTTACTTGTGGACGGTAGAAGCTGCCTAGGTAACCATCTTCCATATTTACTACCGGGTCAGCAGCGGCAGCGTGTGCTTTCATTGGTAGTTTTTCAGTCGTTCGCGTGGAAGCTAAGAAAATGTTATCTCAGGTCCCGCTCACTTCGCGTCGCCAGCAGTTATTCTGTCGCCTTTAGTAGCTGAAAGTCGCTGAAAGTCATTCACTTTCTATGGACTCCGGTCGCTACGTCGCTTCCAGTGTTGTCCCGCGCGGAAGACGACGGTTGATACCCCGGATATGACGTAGGGCTATTACATTTTCGTATGCTGCGCGTAGTATCAGCTAGGCTAGCACATCAAAAACAAATAAACTCCATTAATAGCACGGATAGCCGCAGAGTAAATATTCGTTCTATACCGAGCCGTGGCATTTGACTTTTTATTCACAGCAGTGCCAACCTGTATCCACCGCGATGGTTCGGGCGCGTAGTAGTGTAGTTTGGAGTTTTTTCGAAAACAACGACTCACGGTCTGTCCGTTGTCTTCTCTGCGCTCGTCACTTGCTCAAAAAAGGTTGTGGTTCCACCACTGCTATGCTGAGACACCTGCGTGTGAAGCATCCCAACGAGCTCTCCACGAGAAGTAACGGACCCGGATCTAAACCTGGCCCCGGGGAAGACCAGCACCATCAGGCGGAAGGAGAGCAGTTCTGCTCCGGTACAGCTCGTCAAACCATCTAAAGTGAACCCCAGCTTTGTGGGGGACAGAAGTAGATATACTGTATAGTGTTTTAGAAAAAGGCCGCCAAAGGGTTAGGGTTAGTTAAGGGTGAAAACCATATTCTATGTGTATTGAGCAGTCACTAAGTATTATCATGTAACAGAATGTTCACCACTTAAATGTAACTTTGTCTCTTTCTTCTTCAGTGGAAGTGGCACTGGAGGACGATGAGGGTGGCACCATCACCGCAGTACACACAACTGGAATCAGCTCTTCTTTGAATGACCTCCTTCCACAGGAGGGTCCATCAGAAATAATAACACAAATGGAGACAAGTGATGAGCGCCCTGTGAAACGATCGCGACATCGCAGCGTGATCTGGAAACACTTTGATTGCTTGGACAATCTGAACGCAGTTCGTTGTCGCATCTGCATGAAGAAGCTGGTCGAAAGTGGTGGCGTCAGCAACCTGCGGCGACACTTGTCCTCAAAACATCCTAAGGTGTACTCTGAGCTGTTATCCACCCAGCAGTACCCACCAACACCCTTAAACTCCTCACAAGACTCAAACACTAACCCTGAGTCCGATGAGGCCTTATGGGGGACAGAGCAGAGTGATGCTCTAGGTAAGCTGTTTGACAGCCATATTAAAATTTCACATCTACACAAACAAGAGATAACACCTTGCTTATCTTCCTCTTCAGTATCAAGGGAGGTAGCTAAAGTTCTGGATTGTTTTCCAGTGTTTTCTGTAATCAAGACAAAACTAGAGGGATGAAAACTCTATACCAGGGGTTTAGTTTTACAGTGTGATATTGATAGGAGATCTCCCGCCTGCCAAAAGTTCCTGTTTTTCCACTGTCCACTATAGAAATGTCTGGGGGTTTTGTCTGTTTGTTTGTTTTTCACGGTGTTTTCACAGTTTTAAAAATGATATTTTCTGCAAATTAACAAAAACTTTATAGTTTATAATTACAGGAACCTTTTATGTAATTTTACTGGTCTGGTCTGATCAAAGTGAATAGGCTATAAGCACTTTTCCACCCTTACGGACCAAAATTCTTAAACCTCTCACACATTAATTCATAGTACTATGCTGCTCCCTTCACTTCCACTCTGCTGCTTTGTCTGCAGTAGCTCTGTTGCCTTCAGACTTGATTATGCCATATTATAGTTTGATTTTTCCTTTCTAAGATCAC